AGATAGACGCTGCAGAAATTTACCGATGAGGAGATCCGAGCACTCACAGACTGAATGGTTCAATGTACAATGGGGATAATCCTTCGACAGATAACAAGTGAACGAAAATCCAAAACGTAAACTAAACGTTATGTTTTAGTAAAGCCTTTACTAAAACATAATAAAACATCAGATCTCATTAAGAAGGGACAGGAACAAGCTCAAAACAAACAAAATTAAAACCCTGATGACAAATGATAGCCATTATAATACAATGACATAAACCATAAACTTACGTAAGCGTAGATTTCAGACAAATCCAGTAGAAAGAAAAATGGTTGCCGCCGTCCGGCGTCTTCGTCTGCTTCACAACAAATGAATTGAACCAGCCGCTCCGCCTGCCCTTGACCCCTGTCCAGAAATCACCACATCAACTTACGGGTCAATGCCTGTTGGTACCGGGGCTTCCGAAACTTTTTTTTGAGGTTTGGGAATGGTCCCAAAGTGTTTCCTAAAAAGACACAAAACACACACAAAGCAGGTCATTTTTTTTTTTTAATCAAATGACAGCTAAGATTCACACATTCACACACGCCACACACACACACACACACACAGGCATATATATATATATATATATATATATATATATATATATATATATATATATATATTATATATATATATATATATACAAAACTGCCTAAGGATGGAAACGTGCATTGTATCATTGCTGTACCACTTTTCTCAGTATATACTCTTGTGTTTGTCTCCAGCAAAAGTCAAAGTTAAGCTCATGTCCCTTTACACGGCAGACGCGCATTAAGCATATGAGGCTAAATGTATATAGTATCAGATTTTTATAGAACAATGTGGGACATAGTCAAAATCACACCGACCGTATTTACTCCCCATGATATTACCTGATATCAGTTTGGGGCTCGGTCGACCCGTGAGCCCAAAGTGGATGCAACTTATGTCTTGAATCAATGCCTTTGATCACATCATTGCATTTTTTGTGTGGAAAACGGGTACTGAAATGTTACATTGAGCCTGTTCTGTTCTATAGCAGTGTATCTTGAAATGTGAGCAAACAAATTAAGAAGAGTTTGGAGACAGCTGAGAAGTGTTGTGAATACTTTGGATTGCCAGAATAACTAACAATTACTGCCTGGAAACTGCTAATAAAAGTAAAACATTATACAAAACAATGAGAAAAATACAAAGTTCTTTGGTGATTTGATGAGAAAAAGAGCAGTGGAAAATATCGTGACGACTGGAAAGATTACTGGTAGAAGAGGCAGACCAAGAGAAACGATGGTTGATGGCTTAAGACAGTGGCATGGAGGAATTTCATCAGTTGAATTATTCCAGAACCTTAAAGACTGAGATCTGGAAATGTATGAATGCCTAGGCGCTTGATGATGATGATATAAGTGACTTTGATCTTCCTTAAGTAACGCATGTTGGATCCAGCGTAAAATATCTACATTTGTAATATTGATGGAACATTTCTAAATACTAAAACATCAGTAGTGGTACCAACAGTTAGTTTTGTTCGGCAAGGGTCAAATAGTATAAAACTCGCACAATAATGCCAACTTCGGCAGCCCTGTTACTGCTATGATTACCTGTTACGGCTTCAACTGCTGAAGGAGGAAGAGAAGATAACTCTCGCCAGTGGGTAGACAACTGTAATCAGTCTAAAGTCGAACTTAGGGAAATGGCCGCGATTACAGTGACTGGCGAATATGGTTACATCGCTTTTGTCGTTGTTGGGAGCTGGGCGATGTTAAACTACCTGGCTTTCCGGGTGATGCAGGCCAGGAAGAAGTATAATGTGAATGTAGGTGAAGGTTGCTTACATTTTAAGTGTATAATAATAGTTGTCCAGACTCGCACTTCTTACTGAAGTTCTCTTCAGTAGTAGTTTCATCAGGAAGTCTGCGAGATAGACTTGTTGGTTAGCAACAGTTATTTATTATTCACTGGTTTCACGCTGCTGCTAATTCACGTGGAGACACCAGTAAAACGCAATAGGACATTAACATTCATAAGCTAAACAATTGGTAATTAGCAAACAACGGTAAACTACATCTGACACCTCTCAGTGACTCTATTCGGCATATTAGCATTAAGGGCTCTCCTTTGAATCGTTCCCCAAAATGGCGGCTTTAATAGAGGGCGTTCGAAAGAGAGCTAAATTGGCCAATTTCTGGCCATAAAATATCCAAAAATATCCAAATGCGGGTCAGTTCTATTAAAAATATATGTGCCGGTCTCCGGATAATGAAACAAATGCTCTGACAGGGTCTCGGCAATACGTTGCTTGCCGACCTGCTTCTGCGAATGTGCCTTACCGCCGAGTGTATCCCCCGCGCCGCTACGCGCGGCGAGGATGGGGGCTAAACTAGATGGCTGGGACTCACGAGCGGCAGCTACCGCATCTCCTGCAACGTCCTCCAATTACTGTACTCGTGAGTCCCAGGCACCTAGTTTAGCCGCTACGCGCAGCGCTGGGGATATGCTCGGCGATGAGTTTAATCGCGTTTGGCGCATGCCAACAAGTCTGACATCTACCGCTGCTAAATCCTTCAATCGGAAGAACACAGTATTGCTAATCGGCTTTCATCGTCTGTAATGTCTCGAAATTGGTCAACGGTCGCTAGTATCGTCTGCAGAAATGCTCGAAATTGTTGTCAACTGTCGGTATTTATCGTCTGCTACTAGTACTGTGTGCAAAATGTTGATATTGATTGTCAAGTAATCCTAGTTTTGCCGCGACCTGTTCCTTGGCAGAAAGTGCGTATTTTAGATGTACGCGAACACCGTCGTTCGGATATTTTTGGATATTTTATGGCCAGAATGTGGCATGCCGCCATTTTGGGGAATGATTTAAAGGAGCGCCACATTAGGTATTAACTACAGAAAAGTCTGAAGAGAATGGAGAATATAGAAGCTATGTCATGGCAGGGTTGAAGTCCAGAAGATCTTAGTTCATAGGCAGGCGCTGGAATCTGGGAGGTCTTTGCCTGCTCTACATAAATTTGGAGCAGCTGAGGGCAGCCACATAGAGAAGTTATCTTTTTAAGGCACTTATCCCCCCCCCCCCCCAAACTCTGTACACAAGTTAAATAAGGCTTAAGCTCTGGAGCTCCTACCCTTTTCCCCTAGAACATTTATGAGCGCGGGCCCCCCCCCCCCCCCCCCCCCCCCCTCAGTCAGTTTTCTTTGTGTAAGCACCACCGTTTAATTTATACTCTCAGGGGGACTCTGTGGCAAAGTTGTCAGTTAGGAAGGTTGTGAGTTTGTTTCGTGGCTGTAGCATTCAGGTGATGAGTTCAGTTTTTATAGACAATAACAGCAACAATAAATAGCAAGAGGCATGTATCAGGAAGTAGAGGTAGCAGCCCTTCCGACTTGAAGATTGACACAGGATGTAAGTGAGTTCTTGGATTTGAAAGTGCATTAGGTGAGAGAGCTGGCAAGAGACTTCAGTTTCTTTCAGGCAGGCTGTGATGGGAACAACGTTCTGCAAAGGACCTGCTATATGATGATGATGAATGTGAATCACAGAAAATCCATGCGTACTCCTTACTGTGTTCTAACAGAACACGAGTATGTGTGTCCAGAGTGTAGTAATGCCCCTTCTTAGTAACAGTATCAGCAACCCATAAGATATCTTTTAAATTATAATTAATTTTTTTTTCTCCAGTATCCAAAACTGTACAGTGAAACAAGCCATGAGTTTAACTGCATCCAGCGAGCACATCAGAACACGTAAGTTAACAGTTTATGCATGAACTATTAGCAGATCAATCGGAGAAAATTATTAGGGCAGTATAGAAAAGTATAGAGTGTATGGCTTAGGAGTTGCAAATACAGTTTGTATTGCTGGTGCGCCAGGTTTGATTCCAGCTGCAGGTGATTTGTCATCACTGCATGTTGTGTTCATTTCGACTGGTACAAACCGAGAGCTGACAGTTCACAAATCAGTGGCACGCTACTGACCGCAACATTTGCCTATATAAACCACAACAGCCAAAAAATGCTAGGGTTGGTTTTGCAGCATCATGTAAAGCAAACCCAACTACCTAGAGAAATCTTTACTGTGATACAAATGTTCAGAAAGCAACAAGCCATGAGCAAACAGCAGCCTGTAGGATATGTAACCAAATAAAGGCAGAAAGTGTTCACGAAACTTGCAGCCAACCTTAATTGTGAAGATGACTCTTAATGCAAAGACAATATACTAGCTTTATTTGTAAATAGAAAAAAAAAATGTATTTTCATGTTCACTTTGTTATACTGTTAAACCTTGTTAACTCGATTAAGAGGCGCACTTGGTTAACATGAAGAAAGAAAACTTTGGTAACAGCAGGGATGTATATGTTTTATTAGTTAGCATGCATTTGTTTTTTCTAACACAGCTATCATCACCATCATCAAGCGTTGATGGGCAGTATTGGCTATTGTCATGACAGCTATACAGCTCTCAAATGTCAGGATAATCGCTGGTGTTTATATTTATGAGAGAAAGAAGATGGCAGTGCCAGTATAGAGGGCACATTTTGAGATGAAGGGGACAAGGAATCTCAAAACAGACACTGAAGTGGACAACAAATAAATATGAGGAAGAGATGATGTCCAAGAAAAACCTGTGTTAAACTCTGTTGATTGAATCCAGTTGTGCTGATACATTATATCAAAAGGATTGCACAGGATTGAATGGAATGGAGGAATCAGCAGTGAGATTTATGAGATTTTTAAACAGTAAAATGGGTACTGTTTGTGAATCATAATATCATTTGTTTGGTTTATTCTCATCCTGTTTGAATTTAACCCACATGAATTAGGGCATAATTTCTCTCGGTAAAAGAGGAAAGACCAAATAAAACAATATGTTTTGTCAGACTTACAGGTGGATGGAAAGAACTAAATTATGAAGAAATAAAAATGACCTTTACAAATAATTTGTGAATTAATCATCATATTATATCCCTTTCAGACTCGAAGTCTACCCACAGTTTTTAGCTTTTCTTTTTCTTGGAGGCCTGCAGTTTCCAGTGAGTTTCTGAAATACATTGTTTTTATATTTTTCAGTTTAAATTTATGCAGCATTTTCCATTCCAAATTTTAGTTTTGTTCCATTCCGTAGGCCTGATCCTAGCTATTGTATGCTGAGTCACGGCCAGTTTTATCGCAATCTGCTTGCTCTTCTAAGTATGTTGTCATGAAAAGAAAACAATCAAATACTGAGGTTCTGGAGAATGTGAGAATGAAATGATAAATGAACTAAACAGGAGATAAGGTAAGTATCTGGGTATATAAAGAGACGCAAGATACAATGCTAAAATTGCTCAGCCAGATAATCTCCCACTCTCCCCCGCACCAGGCCGCGCCCGGCACTCACTAATTGTCCTTCTCAGGACTTTTAGCTCTCCCCCACCAAAGCAGCCTACTTCACACCAAGCAACAAAATCGGTAATCAAGGCACAGCCAAGCGCCTACAAGAAACAAAACGACCTAGAGTCAGCACACAAACAAGGACTTGATATAGTCACGGCTCAACCAGGAGCAGACTGAAAGAGTCAAGGAGTTTTGCAATTTTTGTTTTCAACTAACGAACGAACGAACAATGCTAAAATAAACAACACACGTAAGGTTGAGCGGCCTTTGAATGAAGTGTTGGTCCAGCAAAAAAAAAAAAAGGACTTTAAAAAGGAACAGTACGACATGTTTATGACCTCAGACATTTGTTGTGGCAGATGGACAATTTGTAAGTATGCCTAGTATGTAATCTAAGAGGCAGCCTTATACAAATGTACTGGAGGTGAAAGTTGAAGGCTAGTACATACAAGGGACAGGTTAACATCAGGATATTGACAAATAGCAGTTTGAGAGATTGGACTTCTAGAGTAAGCTACACGTATGCTTCAGAGCGTCAGCTGGCCAGACAGATATGTGGATGTTTCGTGGTGAGACCTTGGTTAAATGATTTTATGTATCTTTATTTTAATGCAACATTGTCTGTTCATGTCATGTGCTGATGAAGGCTTTTTAGCCGCAGTGGTGACTTGTCATTTGTGACTGCGTGAAGCTGACTGGTTCTATTTTTCATTTGGTTTGATATCTCTTCATGATACCATGGCAAGAAACGTTGAATTTCAAGATTTATTCTAGTCAACCTTTATCGTGAAGATGGCACCCGATCAACTTCTTTATATTTTCAGTTTGACTGTTTGCACTGATGCCGTTGTAAAGTTGACAGTTTACATGCCACTTTCCCTATGTGTTGTCCAGAGCCTCATTTTTGAGGGAAATAGTATACCTCCCTCCCTAACCCTTTCCAGCCCGCCCTCCTCACTCTGCAAACATAATAGAAGTGACCAGTTCGGGGTATGCTGAAAGCGAATGTCCTATGCTGAAAAGCACAGAAATCACAGCTTACCTGTAAACCACAACATGTCATGTAAATCAGCCTTTTTCAGGCAAATGCTGAAGAAGAACTTATCATTAATTTCTGGCCTTATTATTTTTTTTTAAGTTCATTTTATTTCTCCATCTAATATCTAGAAACTGAGTGCTGCGTTTGGTGTCATCTTCATTGCCAGCAGGTTGGTGTATGCTCATGGTTACTACACATTTCGTAAGTACTGCTTTTGTCTTCTTCTTTTCGTTTTTCTTCTTCTCGTCCTTCTCTTGCTTTGTCAGCCCGGCAATATATCACTCCATCTTCCCTGTGTGGGTTCCGGGGGCTTCCAGGACCAGAATAGACCCACTAGCTCCCCAACAAGCATGTCACAAGAGACACTAACTGGGGGCATCCGTCAAAGTCAGAGTTCATCTGTATGAGAGCCAATAGTCTGCATACAAATAAACCAGATCTGTCAAACAGATATGCACGGAACACTCAGTTTCTGGAGCAAGTCTAAAGTCCAGAGATTGACGCACAGAAATTGCAGGCAGAGTTTACAGCTGGTGAGCGCGAAGAAGAAGAAATAACTCCGGGGCTATCTTACGAATAACAGTCCCAACTTATTGAGGCAGAAAATATACCCTAACAGGGCCTCAGTCACGTGTCAGTTGCGCACTTCCGGCCACTTAAATTGCGCACTTCCGCTCACGCGGCGTGGGTTGGGGCTAAACTAGATGGCTAGGACTCACGAGCAGCAGCTACCGCATTTCCTGCAGCTGCAGCGTAAGCGGCGTGGGGGATACTCTCGGCGGTGGTGGTATAGTCCCCGGAAGTTCGCAATTTGGCGGTGGCGGTATAGTCCCCGTAAGTGCGCAATTGAAACGTGACTGAGGCCCTGTTAGGGTATATTTTCTGCCTCCATAATTTGGCACCTTTATTTGGAAGATAGCCCACTCCAAAGCTCAGTCTTTAGTGCAGTGATTCTCAATTAGCTAAGACCCTTCTTAGTTATGGGGGAGCCACTGGTGTAGCGGCCAGACGCTCGCCTCCGGATCAGAAGGTCATGGGTTCGGGTCCTGACGGAGCCCAACTTTTTTTTGAAAAAATGACCTCGGCTCCAAGTGTGGCCAGCCTTAAATTGGTACTGGGTAGAGTTCTGGGAAATAAAGGTGGCAGGCATGATCTTGACCTCATCGCCCACCCAGTGCCACTCGGTCTATAAAATGCTTGTCTGGTCTTATATGCCCAATATGCCTAAAGGCTTTAAAAGGTATCCCTCACTTCTCAGTTGTGAAGGGATGCCATGGACCACATACTTTTTAAAATGGTCCTACTGAAGAACAGAAATGCTCATATCAGGAAAAAATTGCAGTGGAACTGGTATTAAACTACATCAGGAGACAACTCAAGAAATCACGCAGCACTGCTCCAGGCCCTGTAGGCTTGTATAGTTCTCCCACCCACACTTGGAGGGTATAGGTTAAATGGAGAGACTTGGTTCAATGCTACAGTCTTTGCCTACGATGTTTGCGAAGGATTTCAGAACAAATAAGAGACATGTGCGGCAGCGGTAGACTTAGAAGATACCCACAACAAAGTATCATATAAATATCTAATGCACCTATTGCGTAAACTAGAAGTAAATTCTGTTCTGATCTTCTGGATTGCTGCAGCCCTGTTTCAAAGGAAGGTAGTACTCAGATGTGGCATTCGGTGCTCAGAATTGCAAATGATTTGTCCAGGCTTGCTGCAGGGATCACAGCTGTCATTAGTCTTGTTCTGTGTGTATATGGTGATGATCGCTGAGCAGCAGTTGAATGGAAGGGGAAGGGGAAGGACTTTGAGACGGGAGCACGGGAGACAGGAGATCGCCAGCAAAATGCACAACGAACTGGATCAAATTGCCACCTGGTGTGGTGGATCCAATGCCTATGTCAATCCTTCAAAAGCACCAGTGACATGGTTCTCTTTGCACATTGTCAAGACAGACTTACCAAAAGTGAAAATGGGTGAAAATATGTTAATCAGATCCAACATGATGACATATCTGAGGGTAAGTTTTGATCATGGCTTGTCATTCAGGGAACATGTTGACCATGTGATAACAGAAGCAAGCAAAGGTCTATCTGCAGTGAGGATTATGGCTGCTTCCAATATCGAGCAAAGACTACTAATACTTCTGTTCTACGGGCTGGTCTTTTCCCCCTTTTGAATATGCTTTGGCTTTCCTCACTGTTAGTGCTACACAAACTGAAAAGGTGCAAAACAAAGCCATGCGCATTATTTTGGGATGTACAAGAGACACTTCCCGTGTAACAGTGAGACATCCTACTTGACTTTCCAACCATGAACCAAAGGTTTAGGATCTGAAGGGGTCGGACATACCTTAAAATATCAGCTGAAAAGAAACACCCACTGCATCAAGCGCTTTTCTAGTTAAAAGGATGACAGGCTGAAGAGGGGAGATCATGACTAGGTCAGGCAGAAGATGTTATCAAGCAAATTTACAGCCTAACCAACATCTCTCTGGTACAGAGAGGATACCCATGCCTCGTGGGTTTATTTGTGCAGTATCCTGTATTGCCACAGGCAGTGCAGGGAGCAGAATCCTATTGCTGTCAGTGCAGAGGTCAACCTCTCATCAGTGAAACATTCAGACGAGGCAGATGCACTGATTTACACGGACAGATCTGTTATAACAAAGAAGCCCATGGGCATTCACAACACGCTCAGTGGGCAAAACAGTCAAAGAAGCCCATGGCGCCTTTTCCATGACAACCAGCAGCATGGCAATGGAGATGATGGCAGTAACGCAAGCGTTCAAATGGCTCGAAACACAAAATTACACCTGTGCATGTGTACTCAGTGATTCAATGAGTAAGATCCGGAGGGCTCAGGCAGATTCTGTATGAAGGTAGTGGCTTGAGTCATTACAGAAGTCCACTGTGCATGGAGTCACCCTTATTTTTGTTCTGGGAAACGTGGGAATCAATGGTAATGAAAGAGCTGATAGGTTGGCTGGATCTGCTATCGCTGCCGATGGTCCGCCTACGGATCATGCTGATATTATTAACGCCATCCGAGAAATGGAAAAAGTGGAGGACTTTGGGGGCAGCGAATCCACGTCACTCACTAGAATGACAGACTTGGGAGTTTAGATCAGCATAGTGAAAAAAACGAGACGCACACCAGGCACATCAGAGGACTTGTTAATTAACATAGAACTGGTACGGTTAGCCAGCGGACGCTGGGTTTCAAACTGAGGGGAGGGTCTGAGCACCTGTGGACATGTCTGGAGTGCAATGATGATAAACCTACTAACTAACTAACTAACTAAATAACTTACTAACTAACTAACTAACTAACTAACAACAAATCAGATGGTTCAGACATGCATCAAGACTGCCACCAGATAGATAGTGTACCACAAAGAGCCCTATCACTTAGACACAATGGAAGCAGATCTATAGTTCGAATCATGCAAGCCATGGAGAGATGGAATGTCCGGGGCCCTAAATACCAGCATCTACCAAGGCTTGGCATTTGATATCACAACGTCTAGTTTGAGAATGGAGGTGGAGGCAGTCACTGCTGCCTTCCGTCGGCTTGAGAATCAGCTGTACACACAGCTGTCGTCATTGTAACTGATTCATAGAGCATGCTGAGAAAGGTGGAGACAGGCATGCTCCGTGCAGAGTGGCAAGCATCACTTCAGAGGTCCCGGGTATTTAGCATCCTTTGGATATTTTCTTCAGGTAACTCCGGTGTGGTGGGAAATGAGCAGGCGGATAGACAGGTTCTGCACCACTTGGTGGTGAACTGATATATGACAAGCTGGATGTTGTGAGGGCCCTTTGGGAGCGAGTGAACAGTGCCGAGGAACAGATAGATCATTACTGTCTGAGGAGAATGGCACTGCGAGGAGTTACAAGGGGATCTGGCCAACGCTCGAAACTCGGGGGAGGAGCAAGAGGGATATACAATCAGACTGTTACTGGTACCATCAGAATTTTAACTCTGCACTTGCTACTGAAGATGGGAACAGAGCGCTTATGGGAGTGTCCTGAGTCCTGTGATGTCGATTCTTAATTCAACATTCAACATTCCAAGGCTTGCACTCAATGTCTCTCCAAAAGCTGACACTGAAACGCAAGGGCAAGACTAGAGAAGAGGAAGAGTAACAAACTGAACACCTTATTATAGTGTATAAATATTAGAATTGCAAAAAAATGATTATAAAGTTTAAGTTTTCTTTGTAAATGATACTGTACTGACCTCTTAAATTTGTTTTGTAGACCACCATATCATGTTCTGATATTGGTCCATCTCCGGATGCACACTGTTCAATATCTTTTCTCTTTGTCATCCCTGTTTCTTTTTCCCCACTGAACTCTGTGTTCTTTAAAAGCATAGGGATGCAGATGTTGAACTCTCTATAATACTGTACCGCTAACAAATTTAGTCTTCTTGAATAACAGCAAACAAGTTTAAGTTTCATGTATTTGCATGTGAAAAAAAAAATCTAAGCGCAAAGTAGAACTCGTAACTTTTCCGGTAAAACAAAAATCTAGAATGACAAAAAAAGTGTTATGGCCACAAAGCCTTCATCAGCATAAAAAAATGTGACAGTGATACAACTACATACAAGAATGTGTAAAATAATTAGCTACAGTGAAGACATGATAAGAATAACTCACCCGAGACCCAAGAAATGGTTCTTTTCAGAAATTCCCCTTGTAACAGTTCAAGCAAGAACAATTGCCGGGGAAAAAACAAATTGTTCTTCACAACAAAAATTTGCCACATCCGAGATTGCCTCAAGTGGTCTGCACTGTATTCAGTATCCCAGTCGAGTGTCAGTCTGGAAAACATTCATGCATAGAGTACACCTGGCACATTTAAAACCCTTGGCAGTATTTGATCTTGAATAGTAAGTTGTATTAAGTCACTGCTCTGGTAGAAGTTACAGACTGTCAAAGCAGTCACAATCTTGGAACTGGCAGTAGTGGTAGGATAGTAGCTCGTATACCAGCCTTAGAGTCCTGTGTTCCGTTGATGAATATCTAAGATCGTTTGGTTTTATATGTTTTCCTGATATTTGTGTAGCTTCACAGCAGTTAAATAATTTCACATACCTCTTGTGTCCTGCCCACCCAGAATTGCTACTATCTGTGCCTGTCACACTATTCTATACTGTGCTCTATTGTAATCTGTGTATGTGTTGTAGAAGGCTCCATAGCTGCAATGTTCACGTTTTGTTTGTTAAATTGTGAAGTTTGCTAATATACTTTTCGTTTGGTCTTATATCTTTTACTGACTGTATTGGGCTGTATATATAATAAAAATCAGTGTTTATTTTCATACGTTGTAATAATTTCTGAACTGGCTCTTCTTTCTAGAACCAGCAAATCGAAACCGCGGAGCCTTTGGATATATTGGCTTGATTGGACTCATTGTAAACACAGTCTTGTTTGGCCTCAGTTCAACTGGTTTCATTTGAAACTTGCTGGTTGTGTTGTGTGCTACAGTGTTTAAATTACAATTTTTGTACTGGACCAAATGGCTGATAGTTATCCTAGTTTTTTTTTTTTCTTGAATAGCAAGTTTTTTCTTTTTTTTATAATATGTATTCTGAGCAAGTTTGATAAGTAGATTTTTTTTATACTTGTTTATTTTTTTAGATCTGTCCTCTTCTTTTCTAAATATTATTGTTCATTAATGTGACAGAAAGATGAAGCCAAGATTGGACGTCTAAGGTCAACGAAGAAATCATTTTTTTTAAAGCCTAGTTATTGTATAGTCGGGCGGAACCTTTGACCGAAGGCACTGTATCAAGGTTTTAACCCGTGTCTTTGGATCAGAGACATCCATCCATGTTTACCTGCACACCATATTACATTCATCATTATGTTTGTTATTTGTATTTGTACTAATTATTAATGTAACCAAGATTGTTGGAATTAAATAACCTACGGAGTCAGTTGGTGTCTGTTCTTATTTAGTTGTGTCTGTGCCTGATTCATGAATTTGTGCATGTTATTTTTTTTTTTTATGGTTGATTCATGAGTTACTAACTGTTCTGTATATGCTTGGTGCATGAGTTCTTATCTAGCTGTGTCTATGATTGATGCACCGGTTACTGTCTGTTCTTATCTAGTCCTGTCTATGCTTGATGCATGTTGCTGTCTGCTGTCATCTAGTGCTGTCTATGCTTGGTGTATGAGTTACTCTCTGTTCTCATCTAGTTCTGTCTATGTTTGATTTATGAGCTAGATCAATTATTCTGTTTTCTGGCCGCACTTAACCAAAGTGTAAATATTTACCTTAATCCCAAAAGTTGATTTTGTTCTTAATCTACACTGTCTGTTGCAGTGACGGTGGGGACACCGTGTTGCGGTTTACATCTAGGCTGCGATATCTGGGCCTTTCAGTCCAATAATCTGATTTCAGCAAAACACTATTTTGGTCACCTTTTACAACATGCTTGTTAGGGGCCAGTGGGTCGATTCTTTTATTTCTCCCGAAAATGGAGCCCCAGAACTGATTTGCTCCATACGAGAGTACTGATTTGACGTTAGAATTAAAAAATATTAAGTTTAGTATTTTAATGTTAAATCACTACTGTTGTTCCCCGTGTGGGTTCTGGGGCCCTATTGTGGGGAGAACAAGAATAGACTCACTGCCTGCACAAAAGCATGCTGTAAGAGTCGACTAATTGGGAGCTTCCTTCAAAGTTAGAGTACATCTGTCTGAGAGGCAAGGAACCAACAGTCTGCATTATATGAGTCAGACCTGTAAAACGAATTTGCCTGCAACACTCAAGTTTCTGGAACAGGACAGAACGCAGAAAAGAAGAAGATGTACTGTGAAGAGAAGAGAAGACGCTGGAGTTGGATAGGACACACACTGAGAAAACCTGAGTGCATTTGAACTATGTCTTTGCATTAGAACCCACAGGGGCATAGAAATAAAGGAAGGCCACAAACACAGAGAAGGGAGCTGGAGAGGGAAGTTAGAAAGGGTAGAACAACTTGGAATGAATTGGTTCAGGGCCTATGCTCCATCAAGGATTAGAAAGGCAGAAGAAGACGCAGGAGAAATATGATGCAGAAACATCAGCTGATTTGATACTGACAGGAACTTTCATCAGAAACTAAAGATCAATTTCTTGTCTGCATTTCTTTACTTAAGGGAGAATAGGCCTTCTACAAAGTGACTCCAAGATTTGTTAAATTGTTACCATGGTTATTTGGATTTTGAAGCTAAATTTTTTTGATGAGGTAGCCAGTTTGATGGCACACCTCGTTAGTTACTTTTTATGACACATTTGGTACATTTCAGTGTTACCAGCTTTTCTGTCCCATCTGAATCCAGAAACACATGGACGAATTCAAATCTTGTCCACACCGTCAGTTTAGGAAGGGAGATAAACATATGAGCTTTAGAAACTGATGGGTTATTTCCCTTTTATACTGAGCAACCATCTTAGCGTTCACCGGCTGTTAACTCCATAGGAAAGTCCTGGTTGTTTGTCCACTTCAGAACTTTGGTCTTGATCCAGAACTTGAGTTTTGCGCGCACATCCGATGTATACATCTGGCTTATGTGTTCGTGCAGACTGTTAGTTTCTTGCTTCTCGTGCAGTTGCACTCAGCTTCAAAGGGAATACCCACAGTTCGCGCGCGTGTGGGGGGATGGAGGGCAGAAGGTCTGTTCTTATTCCCCTCTTCCCAAATTGAGCCAAGAACGATCGGTAAACTACCCCACTGGCCTACAACCTGGAATCAATGAGATGAATAGAGGTAGATCAACCGGGTTGTCCGCCTTGAGCTGTGATAAACAAATACACCTCCTGGGGGGCGGGGGGTGCTCCCTAACGTTCAACCAGCATCACCAAAGGGGGCGCTTCAGGTTATATTTGTGACTAGGTTATGTGCGCCATATAACATGGCTTAGCATTGAATGCCGCTGGGGGCCCTGAAAAGGACCCCTGCCGTGTTAATGCGATCAAAGGAAACGGATCCACATATTGTCCCGACCGGCGACGAAGTCGTCTACTGGCGAGCCAATGTGCGATACGCGAATGTGGATACCCAGTTAAACGTCCAAACAATTTTATAAATTAGCGCCCGCAACGGCAGCGCTAGCCAGTGGTCACCTGTAGCCCTGTGATGTCAAAGGTCATTTCTGAAATATTGCAATGTACCTTGCTGTTTTGATATCGTAGCATGAGTCATGAGTTAGGAACCGACGTCAAAGCACTCAGGACATTCCCGTAAACATTATGTCCCCATCTTCAGCAGCAAGCACAGAGTTCTAGTTCCGATGGTATCAGTATGTCCGCCGCACCCGTCTGTGTTTAATTTAATTTAATGAGCGAAATTGTTCAAAGTGCACACAAGAATATCTTGTGGTTCAACCCATCAATTGACAGTTCTTTTGCACCTGGTTCATTGATAGTTTTTAGGCGTACGGACTCTAACGTCAACTTATAAAACGCTCTGTCGGATAAGTGTCGGTTACTTGTTGGGTTGAACCGTGTGTGTGTGTGTATGTATGTATATATATATATATATATATATATATATATATATATATATATATATATATATATATATATATATATATATATATATATATATATATATATATATATATATATATATATATGTGTGTGTGTGTGTCTCAAATTTGTGTACAGCAAAGAAAGGGTAAATGAATATAAACGGGAATAGACCGATAAACGGCTTGTAATCAGAAGCATGAAGGGATAGATAAAGTAGCTAGTATTGTATATGAAGGGTAAATTGTTAGGTTTTTTAAAGGAAAGCTTTTTCGAACTCGGAAAGACCCAAAGATACCAACACATCGTTGAAGTCTTTTGGGGTCCCCCTTTTTTTTTAAATAAAATATTTTATTTCCCTACGAAACAAAAACAAAGAAATACAAAACAGTCGTAAAGCTAGAAACTCCAGGTCAAATTAAAAAAACATCCGCCTGATTGGGAGTTCAAATTTATATCCACAAGTATGACAGGCTAATAATGCTAGCCTTTTAGTGCAAACAACGAACCGCAATTCTGGCGTGGGGCCATCAGTGTATATGGCAGCTGCCTTATGCATTTTTTTTAACGTTTGCAAGCTTCAAGATTTTGCCGGGACTGACAAGTTTATCGCTAGTTTTCAGCTGGGACAGTGAAGGACAGTTTGTGGATTTCGACTGGCACACGAACGAAGCAGTTATGGGGGGAGGGGAAGAGAACAGAACCCTCTGTAGTGATATTGGAACCTGGACTAACGACTAACTAGCCAGCCTCTACGCCACACTGATTCCTGATTAGGTAGGTACCAGAACAAAGTAACAACCGAGCAATCAATACTAACCGTCTGCACCTCCACTCGCATAGTCCGATCCGAAGCATCCATAAGGCCAGTCTTTGTCACCACAGAGGCACGCTCTCCAACAACTTACTCGCAGTCGTTGACTGGCGTGTCCAGGGATAATGCGTGTATTAAAGATAATAACTGTAATTTACTGAACAAATAACAAGTTCCCTGACCCTCAAATGAGCGGACAATGCGGCTCGACCACATACGGTCCAGGGGATGGGATTAGCAACAATGGTCAGCGGATGACAAGTTTGAGACTAATGCCGGGTCCAGACAGCTTCGGAGACTTCAGTGGACGAGCAGTACAAAATGTTCATTATTGACTTTTTGTCTGTCGGTGGATGGCAGAAGTTTGATAGAGAAGTGGGGGGGGGGGGGGGGGGATTTCCCCCAGATATACTCACAATGCTGGCGTCACAGGATAAACGAATAGTTGACAGTATATGAGGGTTTCCTATGTGACCATCAATGCACCCATATATCTCCCTACACGCTTTGTCGTTCTGTCATAATTCTTCTTGTCCATCAATGCACACACACATCTCCCTGCACGCTTTGTCGTTCCGTCATAGTTCTTCCTGTCCATCAATGCACACACACATCCACCTACACGCTTTGTCGTTCTATCATAATTCTTCATGTCCATCAATGCACACACACATCTCCCTGCACGCTTTGTCGTTTTGGCATAATTCTTCATGTCCATCAATGCACACATATATCTCCCGACACGCTCTGTCGTTCCGTCATTATTCATACAAGAAGAATCCCTACAGCATGCTCAAACTCCGAAGCACTGGTAAACGTCCACATGCGGTAAGTAATTTAATTAGAGAACTTGTCGCTCTCACTGCAATCAGTTGTAAAAATGACCGATTCCTCGATGGTTTTTCTACCTCATGCAAGTTGGTGCTCAGTGACTTTGATGTCTTATGTCCACCTGGTTGACCTCACTAACTTCCACTAGAAATCAAAACTTCCACTACGAATATTTTCAAACCACGGTGATGTTCAAAGTAAAAGTAGAATTTATGGAATATCTTGAATTGGAAGACACAGCAGCGCAGTAACTGTTCGCTTGCCAGGCGATCTGAAGTGTAGAGTTTGAATC